GCTGCCTGCTGTTGTTATTTCCCAGTCCATGTCATTTTATGGGGAGGAGGGATGCTCGCACATGAGATGTGGAGCAGGCTCTCTGCAGACGGAGCCCACCTTGCAGCCCACTTGCAGCGCATCTTCCACCCCCCCCCCCCCCCCCCCCCCACCCCCTCCGCGACCTGGGGGAAAATGGCAAAATGAAGCATTTTGCTGAGGAACATGGTGTCCGTAGAAGCTGACGGAGTGCATGGCACCGAGCTGTGTGCATATGCACCCTGGCACAGGGCTGCCTTGGCCATGCCTGTGTCTGCACACACGCAGTACGCACACAGCCACACTCACATCCAAGCGTGCTGTGCCTGTACCAAAGCCCTGGCTCTGCGGTGTATGGGAAGCAATGCCTACGTCTGTGCCTCCACGCAGATTTATGGCATGCAACAGAATCATCTGTGGGTGCGATTTGTTCAGGTACATCCCTGCATGTGTGCATTCATCCGTGCCCATTCAGGTGCACAAACATGTGTATTACAACACACCTACAGAGCAAAGCATGCTTTACCTGCTCTGCATGTAGCCATGTAAATGTTTGCCCTAATACCCTGCATACTCAAGCTGCAGCTATTCCTGGTGTATGCCTTGAGCACTCCGAGTAATCCGAGCAACCAGAGGTGCAGGCATCCATCCAGCCTGGACAAGGTGTACAGAGCACACCTGTTTGCTCTAACAGTCATTTATCCACTGCCTTCACACACAGGAGTAGCGCTGCCCACTCCTCCTCACCCTCCCTTCTCACACATGTGGGCAGGTTGGGTTTGTACCTCTGTGCTGATGGCATGCATGAAGTCTGCTGGGTTGGGGGGGGAAGATGTAGCATTTCCTTGCTCAGCCATGCACACTGAGAAGTGCATTCCTGACGCACACATGCAGGTCCCTGCACAGGCTTGCAGATCTGTATATACAAAGATTTATGTTCCCGTAGTTATAAACATGCACATGCGCAGATTCATGCCCAACTTACCCACACCATTCATGCATGGTTCCATTGTGTACGTACACATACACAGCCATGCTTAGAGGCAGTGTCCAAGCAAATATGTAAAGAGCATTCACCTATAGTCTGGATGTATATCTGTGCACACCTTGGAGACAAAACACTCTCCCACGTGCACATGCCTTCAGCTACTCCCACACATCCCAGCCTGCAGCATGGTGCGCATATATGTAGATATTTGGCTGCAAGTGTACATGTCTATACAAAGCACACGCACACCCACACAGAGTCAGGGACACAGTATTCAAAAATTCAGTTCACATGCTGGATGTATGTGCTCCCTAAGCAGATGCAGACCCATTTTTGCTAGAAATAGCAGGCACAGGCAGCTGCTCGCCCACAGCTGGGCAAATGCACAACTTGCCTGTTCAGCGGGAGCGACATGGCTTTTTCGATTGAAAGGAGCACTGAGAGGCAAGAGACCTTAACCTTAATCGTGATGCCAGTTTATGCCCTCACTGGGCCAACTTGTAGCTGCTGAGGAGGAAAGAGCCCCCATATCCTTCTTTCCACTCTGCCCCTTTCTGCAGGGCCCTGGCACATTGGTTACTGTCTCTGCCTTGATTTCCTTGTCTATATTAAGGAGGTAACACTGTTTCCTGATTTTACATCCTGTTTGAAGCTAAATAAAAATGTCTACATCCCTTGAGAAATACATAGTGTCTATATTATGAATATGAAATTCTATGAATGTGGAAATCTATGTACCTAGCACAGACCGTCTAGAGATGTACAAATGCTGGTGCACACTATCAATCCACAGTGAGCATATTTACATAAGCGTGTTGAAAAACCTCACATACCTGCATAGAATAGGCAGGTGCAAGCAGACCTTGCAAGCCTAGACAGTGCTGTGAAAATGTCTACCTGTGGGCACCTCTCTGGCCTTTTTACAGTGATTAAAGCAATGCAATGAAGAGCTGTATCCCTCTAAGGTGCATACTCAGAACACAGCTCACACACTTCCCCTCCCAGCACAGGTGCTGAACAGTTTGTCCATGCACCAATGCTGCGCCTGGGAAGTGTGCTGTCTCACATTTGCACATCTCTATTTGGCTGAGAAACCCCTACACATACACAGCCTGCGCATCCAAAGCCTTAATGCATGCCCAGACTCCCAGTGGTCCCACATGCCTCCACCCACACCTGTATGGAGGCACTCACAGGCACTCACAGATGCCTGTTTCTGTGCTCCTGCATAAATTGCACCTGCAGCCCAGTGTCTGATTGTAACCTGATGGAGCAATATCTGCACCTGCAGTCACCTCCACACAGACTTGGATGTTGTCACACACAGGTACACACAGGTTTGTGCCCATTTCACAGCTGTACCCTTGAGCTTTCATGTGTCTGCATGTCTGTGTGCACAGGCAGGGGGGCTGTACATCCTCCATATAGTCGGGAGACTATGCATGTCTGTGTGTGCACACGTGTGTGTGCAGACACACGGACATGTCAGCGCAAACTCTGGTGTCCAGTGAGGCACGGGGCTGGCTGGCAGAGGTAGTGCTATGGTGCAGCTTTCCAGCTTGACTTGGATGGATGTGGGAGGTGGTGTTGACAGGGAGACATACTGTTGTGGTGGGTGACTGCAAAGAGCAGCAGTTGTCACCGGCAGGGTCTCTATTTTCATGCAAAACAGGGGACGAGGGTGGCACAGAGGCTGGGTATTCAGGCAGAAAACCTATATACCCCGCAGCACTGAATAGGTTCAATATTTTTAGCATCCTTTGCTTTCTGGTTTCCCACCTTCAGTTTTGCTTTGACTCTTGGGCTGTTTTTAGAGGAAGCTCTGTTCTTGCTGAAATGGCTGGAGGAGCTGGATCAGTGTTAGGGAGGACAGCTGCCCCCCACATGCAAATCAGAGGGTCAGAAGAGAAAGGATTGCCACTCTGGCACACAGAGGGAAAGATGGACTCTCCTTCCGTGTCTGTCTCTTGAATTGTGTTGCTAAGAAGTCATGGTGATGCTGAGTGACAGAAAATGAATTTTTAAATGCCAAAGATCAGCTGTATGTTGAGGCCAGACAAAAGGAGCATTGTTTTTTCCTTTACTTCAATAATATAAAGAAATACCTAGGTGCACCAAGAAGTAAAGGCTGCACTGGGGTGTGTGACAGTGCAGGGTGCCTGCTGAGTGAGGGGGACTTGTGTAGTGGGGACCTCAGTGCGTGACAAGTGTGCTGTGAGACCAGGAGCAAGTGCCCAGAGTGGCAGGGGGGGGCAGGGGAAGGGGAGTGAGCCCTGCAAGAGAGAGGCTGAAGCCACCCCATGCATGCCTTGGTGGAACAGAAAGGACAATTTCTGCCTGCATGTGTGTGCACCCACCTATGGGCAGGGCATAGTGGGTTGCTCAGAGTGTGCGAGTCAGTGGCCAGGGAGAGAGTGTGCATGGCAAGTGGTGCCCGCATTGATGGGTGCACCAGCCCGACAAGACCGCTGGGATACAGGCGCACACCAGGCAGGAGTGGGGGGGGGGGATGGAGTTTGGGGTACCCAGGAGTCAGGATGAGCTGCAGAAGAGGCCAAGATACCTGCTGAGACTCCTGTGCCACCCCCCACGATGGCTTAGGACCCCTGGCAGCCCTACGTAGCTTGTGTGCAGGTTGAGGTCTGAGAGCTGTGCCAGGGACAGAAAATATGAGTGAGAAAGAAAACGGGGAGGCTCTGCCCGTGGCTGGGGTGTCTGTAGCACACACAGATGCTTTGGTGTCGTGGGGCATGAGGGATGCTGTGGTAGCACTGCCTGGCCGGGGCCCCCACCAACACATCTGGTGTACATGGGATGACGAGCATTCTCTTCTTTTGTCTTTCAGCCCATCCACTGGGAATATTTCTGTGGTGAAAGAGATTGTGGACAAACTGCTGAAGGGCTATGACGTCCGCCTCAGGCCTGACTTTGGAGGTATGGTGATGGCTGGTCGTGGGGAGCAGAGCACTGGGGCCATCCTGTGTCCGTGCTGCTGGCTTGGCCGCTCGCAGCACACACTGACCACGTGAAATGCTCCCATCTGATGTCTCCTACCCTCCGCTGTTTGCTAGCCCTCATCTCCTTCTTGCCTTCTCCGTCACACTTCTTTCTTGCCTCCTGGTTTCCCTCCTCCTCTCACTGGCTCCCCTCCTCCCGCCATCACCACTTTCTGCAGACAGTTGGGTCGTCCATGGTGTGATGTTTCTGGGGACATTTTGCTGGGACAGAGACACTCCGCTTTTCCTCTACTCCAGCCCTTCCTCCATCACAGACAACAGGTCATCCCTCCTCCACATTTGCTCCCCATGCCAGATATTT